TCTCCTGACTTCTTCCCTGCCCACAATTCCCTCCCCATCTCCATGAGTATATGGTCCCAAAGGATGTGAAAAGCGAAAGGTTTGAATCCCTGTTCTTTTTGCTGGGAAACTTATGGGAAGAAGTTTCCCTGTCTGTTAAACAGGCTTCCTAACCATCCCTACCTAATGGAGTTGTTTGGAGGCTTAAGTGACCTGGGACTTTTAACAGCCTTATCACAGTGCCTAGCATACAGTACACATTTCTCACATTAAAGATTAGGCGTCTAAAGCACAGAGAGGGAAAGTAACTTGCCCAAAGCCACACAGCTGGCAAACAAAGGAGCCAAGCTTTGAACCTGAACCTAATCTCACAACCTGAGCTTCTACCCAAGTAAGCCCTCCATGAATGGTAGCTATTAACATTGTATTATTTGCTGTTAGTTATAAAGAAAATGAAGGTGGATGATGTAGGTTCGGAAGTATCCTCATCTGGCAGGACCTGTTCCGGGGAGCTTTTCTAGAAAACTGGGCTACAAAGCACCTAGAGGAAGCTCGACCCTGGGCCCCTCCCAGCCCAACTATCCAGGATCCAACTCTTTTCCTGAAGAGGGTGGGGGAGGGAGTGCTCGCAGTGCTTCTTCCAGCTCCCAGCCAGTAGCATTCCTGGGGGTGGAGGGGGACCTTGGCAGGCAAGTCCTTGGGCCTGATGCTGAAAATACTCAGGCTGGCCAATGTTTGTGGGTAGCTTGTTGGAGGGAGGAAAAGAGAGAAAGAAGGGGGACCCTGTAACTGGTTCAGGCCTGGGAGGGTCAAGACCATATTCATCAAAGCTCCAAAGGACGTTCCTAGAATTTGCAAATTTATTTCTATGACAATCATGGCAAAGATAAACAAATTCAATCACACCCAGTTGTACATTTAATGAGCTGTCATTTTGGGGGAAATGATTGCAGATTACATAGAAAAAGAGACAATTCAGAAAAAAAATTATTAGCAAGGCAGTGATTAAATATTTAAAATGCAGACTGCCTTGACAAAGCTAAGGTCAAGATGCCTTGTGGGGAAAGGATCTAGCCTAGCTAGCATTTTCCAGCCACCCATTCATGCATTAGGCTCACCTTGATTGAGCATTTATTATGTGCCAGGGCCAGACTAAGAGCTTTCTGTGAGACTCACAGCCAGCCCACGCTAGAGGTGTGTTTACAATTCCCGTTTAGATTTGCATCAGCTCATTGAGGCTCAGAGAGTTTAAGGGAGCTGGCTCAAGGTGGCACAGTTAGGAAGTGGCATCTAATGTCTCCTGAGCGCCGACTCTGCTGGGTGCCGGAGGGCAGGAGATGAACAAGGCAGGGCCCCAGCACTTGAGAGGCTCACAGTCTAATCCGCCATAAATGTAGAAATGTTGGGAGCAACAGTTCATCCCTTCTAGTGATTTTGAATTCTTTTTAAGTGAAGGACACTTTATCCTTGAAATCTTATGTGAGACATCATCGTACAAAACAGATGAAAGAGGAAACTGCTTCCGGCTAAAGCTGGGAGGGAGATTTCCCTCCCTCCTCCACCTCCTTACGCACCCAGGAGGAGGAACTGCCAGCTCAACTTGAAACCCACAGATCTCACCCCAGCATCTCGTTTTACAGACGGGAACACTGAGGCCCAGAGAGAGAAGGGAATGGTCAAGATGGCCGGGACCAGAACTTGGGCCTGTGGACTCATGGTTTGGGGCTCTTTGCTCTGCATTAGGGCCCCCAGTGCCAGTGGGTGGATGCTCACCCCAGGTGTCCTGTGTCTGGTGACTGGGGCACAGCCCCTGGACTGCCCAGACTGACCACACTCAGGCAATTTTGGGGCTTTTATGCCAATTCAATGTTTTTTCCAGACTACAGAGAAAAATGAAATCTAAGAGCCCCTTGGAGGAAAGTTGAATATTTTCAGAAGGATCATTTCTACTAGAACCACAAACACCAAGGGAGTAGAAAGTCCCTGGCCTTGGAGTCAGGAGGCCTCATTCAGCACCCAGCTCTCTGAGTATGACTAGGAGCTAGTCCGCGGTTCTTCCTCAGTTTCCCCATCTGTAAAATGAGTTGGTTGGATTCCAGTGAATTCTCCACAAGATTCCTTCCAGGATGGGCAAATGGGGAATCTAGAACTTTCTGGGCCAGGCAACTTCTGGTTTATGACAACCTAGATTCCAGTCGGTCAACCTTCACTCCCTCCTGGGGACTGACCCTGGTCCATCTCCCCTCCCAATATTTTCTCCCTTTTCTGGCCTCTCCCTTCCCCAACCCCTCTCCTGGGTGAAGCTTCCCCCTTTATTTCCCAGCAAACCAGGACTGTGGTTCCTTTCTTGCTTTTATCACAGGATTCCAAAAGGGATCCCAGAAGCCATTTCCCTGGCCTCTCGTGATGCAGGTGGAGACCCCGAGGCCAGAGAAGGGAGGACTTCCCCAAGGCCATCCTGTGAGAGGGAGGGAGGCTGCTCTTTGCAACCAGGATCCCCTTCCCTGGTCCAGGACGAAGCTCTTGGAGTTCCTGACTCTTGCCAAAAGTACTTTTTGCCAAATACACTTTGAATCGTGTTTCACGATGGCCGGGCATCAGAGATCTTCAAGGAGATGTAAGATCATTCATCCGGGGGCCTTCAGTACTCTGACAGACCTCCCGAGGAGGAGGGGTGGGAGTCCCTTCCCAACTCTCAGCCCTTTTGATCACAACTCGGAGTCTCAGTTTATTGTTGCTGCGTCCTTAACACCTTTCCACCCTGTTGTTCTCTCTTTTACAGAGAGAGTGGGGCCCCTGGCCCACACCTTCCCTAGGCAGCAGTATGTTGTTGGAATTTTTGTTTATTGTGGTTAAATATACATTGCTAGAATTTAATAACACTGTTTTCTTTTCGTGGTATTTATTTTTATGATTACCTTCTATTTAGAGTAACGTGATGCTCGTTTTCCATTTATGGCAATGATATAACATTTCTTTGTAAGAACAAGCAGACTAGTTAAAAAAAAGATCAAACAAACCAACCAACCAACCCGAGTTAATTTAAAGAAAGCTATTAAGCAAGTGGTTCTATCTGGTGTGCAGCTTGGGCCGGATTCCCAGCGGAGGCAGAACGGCTGAGGTCTGGGAAACTCCGACTTGGAACTGGAGCTCTCCTCCCATCTGGGGGTCTGAGCTGTCCAAATGGCCTGCTCTGGCCTCATCTCCAGGTGCCCTCTGCTCCCACTTCTTCCTCCCTGCTTCTGCCAATCGCTCGGACCCTCGCCCTCGGAAACTCCATCCAGCCCTCCTGCTGCCTCTGGCCTCCACCTCCCAGGCCCCAGCACCCTCACTGGAGGTTCACGTTTTTTTCCTTTTTAAATTTATGTGGCGCCTTGTATCCAAGGAGGCCCACACAGACGGCCTCTTCCAACAGCATTCCAGAAACGCAGCGCCTGTGGGGTTTCTCAGCGCGAAGGGTCAGCCTCTCCCCCAGCCTTGTTTTGGCAGCTGAAGGGGTGAATGTGGAGCCTGAAGCCCTTTGTAGTTTTCCTTGTCCTTGTTTTACAGAAATCACACTAGCAGAGATTTTCTCCCCTTAGGTTAAGTATTACTCACTCTGGGTCCATTTAAAAACTGTAGATACAGGTTGTTTTTTTTTTTTTTTCTCCTGGCCACACCTTTACTCTATTAGCCACTCCTCAGTTTACTAAGGGAAATAGTTGAAAGGACCAGACATCTTCGAAGTCCTTAGAGGGACATATCCTTTTCCTGGAATGTGGGCAAGGAAAGGCAGCGACTTCCTGCCCCTGAAATGCTGCCTTGTGGCCTGACATCACCAACATTCATATTCAAGACTGGAGTAGGTTCTATCAGTCACTTACTCTTGAGTCTGATTCAGTTGACCAAGGGGCCTCCTGCAGAGCTTGTGTGTGTTTGAATGTTGCTGCAGGCCCTGAGTGTGGAAGCCTCAGAGCTGGGACTCAAAGAATTGTTGCCCAGGGAACAGGATTGGGCAACCTGAGCCTCTCTCATATGAGGGGGTGGGGTTAGCAAGCACTTTCACTGGGGCTGTCTGCTTTGATCTGCTTGCTGGGGTAGGCGGGTGGGTGGTTGCTTTACAGAAGAGGTTCAGAGGTTAAATGTCTCGGTGAAGTCATGTGTCAGTGGCTGGGGAAGGGGGCATGTGGCTGAGGCAGTGGTACAAAGATGAAAAGATAAGTCCTGAGATGGAGACACAGGTCTTGGCCTCTTGCAATCAAGTCATTTGCATCTGGTCCGGGGTTGGCAGCCCCCACCTTCACCTCCCCTACCTCCTGCTGCAACCCCTCCAGCTACCTCCATTATCTCCAACAGTCCAAAGCAGCCCAGGGAGGGTGAATCCCTCTGGCTTTCAACAGGTACGACCAGGGCAGCAGGAAGCCAAGGAGCAAGGTCCCGATGGAGGATCACCCTACCTCTAACCCTGCAGTCCAGTCTTGGAGTAGGGGACAGCGTGGAAGTTTCCCTGGAATGAATACTCTGATCTAGCGGGCCCCTCTCTGCATGTCCCTAACGGATCTCCAGAATTCAGACGAAGCAACGAGGGCCTGTGAGCAAACCGGGAAAGTGAGCAGGGGGTGAAGGAAGGGGTGAAGGGCAGAGGGTGACCCCAGGGGCCCACGGAGGAGGCCTGGATGCCGGACTGAAGGAGGAGAGCGAGGCAGGGAAGGGGAGAGGAGCAGCCCGCAG